CTCATGTCAATGGTTTCACTTGAGTTTTGAAAAAAGCATCGTTTACTATTCTTTTATCAGTTATTTACTGATTATTCTATTAAGCTAGTATCCTTTTTCTTAAAACTGTCAATTTTTATTAAAAACAAAGGGTGATTTTAATATATTACGGCAATTTATTATGTTAGATAGGTCGCTATAACTTTATCTATGATCATTTCTTTTAATTCATGACTTTTATTGTGGCGCCATCTTTACGAAATAATCAAACTCATATATTAAGAGAAAACAGTTGATATGGCTAGTATCAAAAACACACTATTTAATTGTTTTCAACAGTGAGGCAGACTAAATTTTCGCAAACAATTTAAAAATGAATTTCTTGGCACAAAATGCATGCAAAAAAGTCATTTTCAATTTGTTTTTGTCCAAAAGTGCTTGGTGAAAGAGAGTCAAAAAAATGTTGTCACGGCCTAACCTTACAAGGAACTTTCTCAGAGAGAGAAATAGGAGATTTAAGCTTGACAAAAATTTTTATGAAAATAATCATGAGGTCATCAAGTATTCGAAACATTCAATATAAAAAATTCGTTCTTTTTTCTGCATTCGTTGTGCCAATGTCTGAATCCAGCAAATCTAAAATTTTACCGTCTAATATCCTTTCTTTCTAAGGTTACTCAATACCAACTTTGTATCACTATCATGTTCTTATGAGAAAAAAAGGCATAAAACACTCTGTAAAAAAAGTTATGCTAGTTTTCATTTCAACAAATCATTCAAATATTTTTATAAGTTGTACTAACACATAAAGAATTAAAAATTGAACAAAATGAATTATTCCAGTATAAAACAGGATTGATCGACTCTAGTTTTTATAAGGTTAACATGAATGAAAAATGACTCTTTTCATAACAATCTATCTCTTATCAGAATTCAGAATCAAAGAGCTTCAAGCTGAATTTAAGTGTAGACGTTATCTGCAACTTTTACTCTCGATCAAATTGAAAAAATATGTTCAAAACTATATAGTACCTTCGGGGCAAAACTGGATTCACATGTGTCTCATATATAATGATTTTTAATAGGAAAAAAAAAATATTTTTAACGACTTTCATTGCCATATAACCATTGTGAAGCATACTACATACAACATTCGCAATCAGCATCAAAAACTGCATTGAATCCAAACACATATTAGAGAAATTTTTTCTTCGACAAAATTTATTTGTACCTCTTCCCACGGCTGTATGTCATTCCAATTTTGTCCCGCGATCCTTCAGGGATCAGTTTTTCACACAAAAAATTTGTCGCATATGGGTTTTGATTCTGCATTTTTTGACATCAATTGTGAATGTCACATGTGGTGTGCTTTATAATTGTTCTATGGCAATGAAAGCCGCTAAAAAGTTTTTTTTTTTCTATTGAAAACTTATCAAAAATCATTGTATAGAAGAGAGATGTAAGCCTAGTTTCGCCCCGAAGGCATCGTTTTGTAGAGAATAAAAATTGCATAAAATATTTAGTTAAATTCAGCTTGGATGTCTCTGATTCTAAATCTTGACGAGAAAATAGATTGTTATCAATTGGACATTCTAGACTGATCGAAAGAGTTATTTTTCATTCATGTTAGCCTTGTAAAAATTTGAATCGGTCAACACTGTTTTATACTGAAATAATTCATTTTGTTCAATTTTTAATTCTTTATGTGTTAGTACAACTTATAAAAATATTTGAATGATTTGTTGAAATGAAAACTAGCATAACTTTTTTTACAGAGTATTTTATGCCTTTTTTTCTCATAAGAACATGATTGTAATAAAGAGTTGATATTGAATAAATTTGAAAAGAAAGGGTATTAGACGTTAAAATTTTACATGTCCTATTTTCAGACACTGATGCATCGAATGCCTCGTCTACTAGCGTGACACTAGTTAATTTCATAATTCCTCTTTTGAATACATTAAGAGAAATACAAGTGAACCAGTTGTTACAAGTCAAAAATTAATTTTTTCTTTGTAACCGTTTCTTCTTCAAAATGTTTAATCCCCTTAAATAAAATTTCTGCGGACGTGTCTACTCTCTTAAACATTTCCTCGTTGAAAAATCTGGTCTAAAACTTGTGCGCTGTCACAATCTTTAGCATACACGGTTTTGACTAAAATCTGACATTATCCTAAGAGTTACAGATATTCACGAATTTTATAAAGTTTTCACTAAAAACAAGAACATATTTCTTGTTGGTTTCAGAAATTTTTGTATAAAATCATAATTCAAAATATTTTTACAATGATATTCTATATCAGTATGTTATTTAAAAAACACCGTAACCAGTGTTTTATTGAGTAGCATAAAGTCTAACATTATTTGGAAATAAATTACTCGAGCTACGTCTGTACTCAAGAAGTCGATCATTATATTATCAATAATCAGAAATCTAGTGACAAGTAACTGTTCTCGGACGAATTTAGCTGCATAAAATTTCCATCACTAATTGTTTCCGACGTTCAAATTAGTTAGATTTGAACGTCTAAAGATTTTGAATTGTACTTCATACTTTTTAACTTACGCAGCACTGCAAATCAATGTCACAATTATATTGATATTATACAGCCACTTTTGTACAAATTCATTATAAGATCGACTTAAATCCATAAGAAATATATGAACGACTCGATCAAAAATAATACTTAGTTTCTTTGTCTTTTGCTTGCTTATCTTATCAATACTATATAGTAGCCTATCATTTTGAAATCAATGATGAAAACGTGTTGAACTTTCTGAAATGTATTGACACGATATATGTCCATTCTAGGTATTAGTCACTACATTCCAGCGACATTATTCATGATTTTTTTGGTCTTTTGACGGTTTTGAATACTCGAAAGCAGGCTCATCAGATTCTGACGATGTATGAACATCACAAAAATTATCATAATATTGGTCAACTTCATACTTGGAATCGGATCGACCGATTCACAGGTTACTGGTTCGGTCCAGTTGGACTTTTAAAACCAGTCCTTTTTTAACGATTTTCATGTTTTTTGTAATCAAGGGATATGAACCTAGAAGTCTCATGTTTGAATATGACAAAATCTTAAAATAGGAAGTCTTATATAAAGGGTTGAAGAAAATCAGACAGGTTCCAAGTATGTTCAAATCGCAGAAGCCTTTGTCGGTGCTATTTCTTAACAATATTATTTTAGAGAGTACAAAATTTAGAACAATATTGGCGGTCGTCACATTTTCTACTGCCTTGTCTTAAAAAGTTAAGAGTATTACAAAAGCCGAAAAAAAGCTTTTTTTTAATCTTTTTTTTTTGATAATTTTTTACGGTTTTTGTGATACTTTTAATTTTTTTATGGAAGGTCATAAAAAATGCGGTGACTCTTTATTTTGTTTTCTTTGAAATAATAATGTTAAAAAATAACTCTGACAAAATCTTTTGGGACCTGAAAATTACTGTGTCTTGTTTTCCAGATATCTTGGCAAGGAATGCATTAGACAGAAAGATCTATCAGCTATTGAAGCCATAATCTAGACTTGAACTAACTAATTACTTAACATTATAGAAAAAAGAATCAAAAATATGTTGCTGCTAAACTATTTTCCATCACCTTATGTACACATATATACAGTGGTGTGAAAAATTATAGAATCAACCTCTTCCTTCGCTTTTTTCTTGATTTTTTTTAATGTCATTGGTGTTTTTTCGTCCTAAATTTTGCACTAATACAACAATTCAAAGATATTCTTTCATATTTTATTCAGAAAAAGTTCATATATCACATGTTCATCATTAAAAAAAAAAGTCAAAAAAAAGTTCACAATTTTCCCTGTGAATAAATATAGAATCAGTAGTCATGTTTTCAGTTTTACTGTTGAATATTGATTTAATATTTACTAAATGTTTTACCACGGGCTAAAATACATTGTTGTACACGTCGAGGCATCGAATTAACTAACTGTTGACATCGAATCGGAGTAAAGCCGCACCATAACTTACCTATCATCTCTTGTAGTTGGCCCACATTCGTTGGTTTCAATTTTCTTAACTGTTTATCCATATAATCCCATACATTTTCTATCGGATTCATGTCCGGCGAGTTACTGGGCCATTCCAAAACATTGATATGATTATTTTCAAACCAATCAGCTGTGTATTTGGATCGATGAGCAGGTGCATTATCATGCATATAAGCCCAATTGTTATTTGGTGCATCGAATGTATTTTCAATAAACATTGGTAATGCTTCTTCGATAACTTTCACGTATGCAGGACCATTCAAACGTCCAGTATAAGTAACAAGTGGACCACGAGCACCACCAGACATACAGCCCCACACACTTACACTCCCACCACCACCTTGAACTCTCGGAACGAAATTGAAGGGTTCATTTGATTCTGATTTTAATCGACGAACAAAAGTACGATTTTTTCTGTTCAACACCTCGAAGTGTGCTTCATCACTCCAGATGATATTTTGCCATTCTTTTAACCAATGTTTATGATCATTGGCAAATTTTAAACGTTGTTTGATTTGATCAGGTGTTCGTAAAGGTTTACGTTTAGTCGTATAGCTTTTATAACCCATATTTATCAGACGACGACGTACAGTAGAAGCACATAATTGTTTACCATTCGATGAATTCCATTCAGCTGCTAACATTTGACTAGATTTTGTTCGATCCTGTTTCATAATTTTCAATAAGTATTGATCTTCAGCTTTAGTTGTAGCCTTTTTTCTACCTTGACCAACTGAATTAAATAAAGGTAAATTCTGTTTCAACTTTTGAGCAACACCAAAAACACATTTTTGAGACACATTCAGGTACATGTGCAGAATGAGCACAGTATCTATATTCATGTATGTATAGAGAACAAAAGAAAAAATATTCATTCGATAAGAAATAGCACTAATGAAGAGAAGCTTCTCTTCATTAGTGCTATTTCTTATCGAATGAATATTTTTTCTTTTGTTCTCTATACATACATGAATATAGATACTGTGCTCATTCTGCACATGTACCTGAATGTGTCTCAAAAATGTGTTTTTGGTGTTGCTCAAAAGTTGAAACAGAATTTACCTTTATTTAATTCAGTTGGTCAAGGTAGAAAAAAGGCTACAACTAAAGCTGAAGATCAATACTTATTGAAAATTATGAAACAGGATCGAACAAAATCTAGTCAAATGTTAGCAGCTGAATGGAATTCATCGAATGGTAAACAATTATGTGCTTCTACTGTACGTCGTCGTCTGATAAATATGGGTTATAAAAGCTATACGACTAAACGTAAACCTTTACGAACACCTGATCAAATCAAACAACGTTTAAAATTTGCCAATGATCATAAACATTGGTTAAAAGAATGGCAAAATATCATCTGGAGTGATGAAGCACACTTCGAGGTGTTGAACAGAAAAAATCGTACTTTTGTTCGTCGATTAAAATCAGAATCAAATGAACCCTTCAATTTCGTTCCGAGAGTTCAAGGTGGTGGTGGGAGTGTAAGTGTGTGGGGCTGTATGTCTGGTGGTGCTCGTGGTCCACTTGTTACTTATACTGGACGTTTGAATGGTCCTGCATACGTGAAAGTTATCGAAGAAGCATTACCAATGTTTATTGAAAATACATTCGATGCACCAAATAACAATTGGGCTTATATGCATGATAATGCACCTGCTCATCGATCCAAATACACAGCTGATTGGTTTGAAAATAATCATATCAATGTTTTGGAATGGCCCAGTAACTCGCCGGACATGAATCCGATAGAAAATGTATGGGATTATATGGATAAACAGTTAAGAAAATTGAAACCAACGAATGTGGGCCAACTACAAGAGATGATAGGTAAGTTATGGTGCGGCTTTACTCCGATTCGATGTCAACAGTTAGTTAATTCGATGCCTCGACGTGTACAACAATGTATTTTAGCCCGTGGTAAAACATTTAGTAAATATTAAATCAATATTCAACAGTAAAACTGAAAACATGACTACTGATTCTATATTTATTCACAGGGAAAATTGTGAACTTTTTTTTGACTTTTTTTTTTAATGATGAACATGTGATATATGAACTTTTTCTGAATAAAATATGAAAGAATATCTTTGAATTGTTGTATTAGTGCAAAATTTAGGACGAAAAAACACCAATGACATTAAAAAAAATCAAGAAAAAAGCGAAGGAAGAGGTTGATTCTATAATTTTTCACACCACTGTATATATGTGTACATAAGGTGATGGAAAATAGTTTAGCAGCAACATATTTTTGATTCTTTTTTCTATAATGTTAAGTAATTAGTTAGTTCAAGTCTAGATTATGGCTTCAATAGCTGATAGATCTTTCTGTCTAATGCATTCCTTGCCAAGATATCTGGAAAACAAGACACAGTAATTTTCAGGTCCCAAAAGATTTTGTCAGAGTTATTTTTTAACATTATTATTTCAAAGAAAACAAAATAAAGAGTCACCGCATTTTTTATGACCTTCCATAAAAAAATTAAAAGTATCACAAAAACCGTAAAAAATTATCAAAAAAAAAAGATTAAAAAAAAGCTTTTTTTCGGCTTTTGTAATACTCTTAACTTTTTAAGACAAGGCAGTAGAAAATGTGACGACCGCCAATATTGTTCTAAATTTTGTACTCTCTAAAATAATATTGTTAAGAAATAGCACCGACAAAGGCTTCTGCGATTTGAACATACTTGGAACCTGTCTGATTTTCTTCAACCCTTTATATAAGACTTCCTATTTTAAGATTTTGTCATATTCAAACATGAGACTTCTAGGTTCATATCCCTTGATTACAAAAAACATGAAAATCGTTAAAAAAGGACTGGTTTTAAAAGTCCAACTGGACCGAACCAGTAACCTGTGAATCGGTCGATCCGATTCCAAGTATGAAGTTGACCAATATTATGATAATTTTTGTGATGTTCATACATCGTCAGAATCTGATGAGCCTGCTTTCGAGTATTCAAAACCGTCAAAAGACCAAAAAAATCATGAATAATGTCGCTGGAATGTAGTGACTAATACCTAGAATGGACATATATCGTGTCAATACATTTCAGAAAGTTCAACACGTTTTCATCATTGATTTCAAAATGATAGGCTACTATATAGTATTGATAAGATAAGCAAGCAAAAGACAAAGAAACTAAGTATTATTTTTGATCGAGTCGTTCATATATTTCTTATGGATTTAAGTCGATCTTATAATGAATTTGTACAAAAGTGGCTGTATAATATCAATATAATTGTGACATTGATTTGCAGTGCTGCGTAAGTTAAAAAGTATGAAGTACAATTCAAAATCTTTAGACGTTCAAATCTAACTAATTTGAACGTCGGAAACAATTAGTGATGGAAATTTTATGCAGCTAAATTCGTCCGAGAACAGTTACTTGTCACTAGATTTCTGATTATTGATAATATAATGATCGACTTCTTGAGTACAGACGTAGCTCGAGTAATTTATTTCCAAATAATGTTAGACTTTATGCTACTCAATAAAACACTGGTTACGGTGTTTTTTAAATAACATACTGATATAGAATATCATTGTAAAAATATTTTGAATTATGATTTTATACAAAAATTTCTGAAACCAACAAGAAATATGTTCTTGTTTTTAGTGAAAACTTTATAAAATTCGTGAATATCTGTAACTCTTAGGATAATGTCAGATTTTAGTCAAAACCGTGTATGCTAAAGATTGTGACAGCGCACAAGTTTTAGACCAGATTTTTCAACGAGGAAATGTTTAAGAGAGTAGACACGTCCGCAGAAATTTTATTTAAGGGGATTAAACATTTTGAAGAAGAAACGGTTACAAAGAAAAAATTAATTTTTGACTTGTAACAACTGGTTCACTTGTATTTCTCTTAATGTATTCAAAAGAGGAATTATGAAATTAACTAGTGTCACGCTAGTAGACGAGGCATTCGATGCATCAGTGTCTGAAAATAGGACATGTAAAATTTTAACGTCTAATACCCTTTCTTTTCAAATTTATTCAATATCAACTCTTTATTACAATCATGTTCTTATGAGAAAAAAAGGCATAAAATACTCTGTAAAAAAAGTTATGCTAGTTTTCATTTCAACAAATCATTCAAATATTTTTATAAGTTGTACTAACACATAAAGAATTAAAAATTGAACAAAATGAATTATTTCAGTATAAAACAGTGTTGACCGATTCAAATTTTTACAAGGCTAACATGAATGAAAAATAACTCTTTCGATCAGTCTAGAATGTCCAATTGATAACAATCTATTTTCTCGTCAAGATTTAGAATCAGAGACATCCAAGCTGAATTTAACTAAATATTTTATGCAATTTTTATTCTCTACAAAACGATGCCTTCGGGGCGAAACTAGGCTTACATCTCTCTTCTATACAATGATTTTTGATAAGTTTTCAATAGAAAAAAAAAAACTTTTTAGCGGCTTTCATTGCCATAGAACAATTATAAAGCACACCACATGTGACATTCACAATTGATGTCAAAAAATGCAGAATCAAAACCCATATGCGACAAATTTTTTGTGTGAAAAACTGATCCCTGAAGGATCGCGGGACAAAATTGGAATGACATACAGCCGTGGGAAGAGGTACAAATAAATTTTGTCGAAGAAAAAATTTCTCTAATATGTGTTTGGATTCAATGCAGTTTTTGATGCTGATTGCGAATGTTGTATGTAGTATGCTTCACAATGGTTATATGGCAATGAAAGTCGTTAAAAATATTTTTTTTTTCCTATTAAAAATCATTATATATGAGACACATGTGAATCCAGTTTTGCCCCGAAGGTACTATATAGTTTTGAACATATTTTTTCAATTTGATCGAGAGTAAAAGTTGCAGATAACGTCTACACTTAAATTCAGCTTGAAGCTCTTTGATTCTGAATTCTGATAAGAGATAGATTGTTATGAAAAGAGTCATTTTTCATTCATGTTAACCTTATAAAAACTAGAGTCGATCAATCCTGTTTTATACTGGAATAATTCATTTTGTTCAATTTTTAATTCTTTATGTGTTAGTACAACTTATAAAAATATTTGAATGATTTGTTGAAATGAAAACTAGCATAACTTTTTTTACAGAGTGTTTTATGCCTTTTTTTCTCATAAGAACATGATAGTGATACAAAGTTGGTATTGAGTAACCTTAGAAAGAAAGGATATTAGACGGTAAAATTTTAGATTTGCTGGATTCAGACATTGGCACAACGAATGCAGAAAAAAGAACGAATTTTTTATATTGAATGTTTCGAATACTTGATGACCTCATGATTATTTTCATAAAAATTTTTGTCAAGCTTAAATCTCCTATTTCTCTCTCTGAGAAAGTTCCTTGTAAGGTTAGGCCGTGACAACATTTTTTTGACTCTCTTTCACCAAGCACTTTTGGACAAAAACAAATTGAAAATGACTTTTTTGCATGCATTTTGTGCCAAGAAATTCATTTTTAAATTGTTTGCGAAAATTTAGTCTGCCTCACTGTTGAAAACAATTAAATAGTGTGTTTTTGATACTAGCCATATCAACTGTTTTCTCTTAATATATGAGTTTGATTATTTCGTAAAGATGGCGCCACAATAAAAGTCATGAATTAAAAGAAATGATCATAGATAAAGTTATAGCGACCTATCTAACATAATAAATTGCCGTAATATATTAAAATCACCCTTTGTTTTTAATAAAAATTGACAGTTTTAAGAAAAAGGATACTAGCTTAATAGAATAATCAGTAAATAACTGATAAAAGAATAGTAAACGATGCTTTTTTCAAAACTCAAGTGAAACCATTGACATGAGTACGTGCTGGATGAAATTGAAAAAAAAATATTCGTTTGAACACTGCTAGAGTGAAACATAAAAAAGATATGACATCCCAGTAAAAAATTTTCGCGATTTTCAATCGGATTTTTGTGCAACAAAATCAAAATTAAAATCGATTGATAATTTTGATTATTGTTGATCATGACTTAACTATTATTTGATATTGTTGCTTATCCAGT